TTTTCTCTGCTGAAGAAGGAAGAGGGACCAGTGCAGGACCTTGGGCTCCCCCCAAGCCCCCCCAGCTGCCCCCAGCACCCCAGGGACCCACCGATCCTGTAGTAATCCTTGGCCAGGTCTCTGCAGAAGCCCTTCCCATTGGACACCTCCAGGGAATACTCAATCAGCAGCAAAACACTCATGACCTGGGAGAACAAAAGCACAAGGCACAATTCAGTGGCCCTGGGCCAGCAGCATCCCATCAGCAGATTTATTTCCAGGGCTCCTGAAACTGCCACAGTCCCAAATGCAGGATGAGCCTCCCAGGGAAGAGAACACGGGGGGTTTAAAATCCTGGGCAAGGAAATATCGAGGCAAAAGTTCTCAGTTTATTAATTATAATTAATTAATTATAAAAAATATAGAAGTATAAAATTGATATACTATAAAATTGTAATTACTAACGGTGTTTCCTCGGCCAGCAGAAGGAGGATGGAGCTCCTCAGGGCAAGAGGGACGTGGAGCTCCTGGAGCAGCAGGGGCTGTGGAGGTGGAGATGGAGCATCCCTGGGAGCAGGAAAGGCTGAGGGAGATGGGGCTGTGCAGCCTCCAGAGCACACACTGAGAGGGGACCTCCCCAGTGTCCCTCAGTGCCTGCAGGGAGGGGGCAGAGGATGGACCAGGATCTGCTCAGGGGGCACAGGAGGAACGGGCAGGAACTGATGCTCAGGGAGCTCCACCTGGACATGACCCAGCACTGACCAGAGACCAGAGAGGGGGTGTTGCCTCCTCCCTGGGGACATTCCAGACCCCTCTGGACACACTCCTGTGCCAGGTGCTCTGGGATGGCCCTGCTGGAGCAGGAGGTGGGACCAGATGGGGCCACTGTGGTCCCTTCCAGCCTGACCCAGCCTGGGGTTCTGAGTCATCTGAAGCCCACACTGGTACATTGGTATCAGCCACCAAGATCAACACAAGCCTGGGCAGAGCTGAAACAACTTTTCCACAAGAGCCCCTGCAGCCCTTTCAGTTCAACAACCACTCCGAGAAGCGACACAGGAAAGGAGGAACCGGAACTGTTGTGGTTTGTTGCTCGTGTTTGCAAACTCTGGGGGTTGGGAACGGCACAAAAGCAGCTGCTTGGGGAGCTGAGACAAACCTGAGGGGGGAGGGGGCACGAGGGAGAGGAGGTTTTGTCAGAGCAGTGCCTGGAGGAGGCATTTGAGACCCAGAGGGGCTCCAGTCAGGGGTGCTGGGGCTGCCACTGCAGGAAAACAAGCCAAGGAGACACAGAAAAGGAAGGTTTTGCATCACCCCAGAAAGGGGGAAGTGTTCCAAAGCCACCTGGCAGGGGGTTGGAACTGGATGATCTTTAAGGTCCCTTCCAACCCAAAGCATTCTGGGATTCTGTGATTTCTTTGGGGCTTGTGTTTGGGGTTTTTTTGGTGGTGATTTTTGTGGTTTGTTTGTTTGTTTGTTTTGCCCTGCAGTAAATGAACTCTGAAATTTGCTTCGAGGCTGACAGGAAAAAGAGAAAAATTTAGATCTTATTCCATGGGGATGTAAGAATGTCAACAAGAGAAGCCTTAATGTGACAGCATTGAAGGTCCCAGGGCAGCTCTGAAGCTTGTCAAGGATGAAAGTGCATCAGTCTGAAGTGACTTTACACCTGGTGATCTCCCCTGGGATGTGAAGGATCTCTGCCTACACATGGAGATCACACCTGGCTGCAGGTGCCCCAACTTATCTGAAATAAAGAGAGAAATTGCCTTTTTTTTTTTTTTTTTTTTCCCCCCAGGTTTCAGTGAAAAGGAGGCCTGAGCAAAACAGATGAACCAAACTCTAAAT